GAGAAGAAATTAGGACACATATGTACAGAGCAGAGGCCATGTGAAGACACAGGGAGAAGGTGACCATCTACACTCCTTGCTGACACCTTGACCTTGGACTTCCAGCCTTTAGAACTGTGAGATAATAAATATCTGCTGTTGAAGCCCCTGCCGCCCCCAGTCTGTGATACATTGTTATGGCTGCCGGAGCTAACTAATACAAGGCTCTTAAAATGCAGAGATTGTCCTGGACTGTGTATGTGGGCCCAATAGGACCACACATGTCCTTATAAGTGAAAGAGGGAAGCAGGAGAGTGAGAGAAGGAGATGTAATGACAGAAGTAGAGGTCAGACCGATGTGATCGCTGGCTCTGAGCATGGAGGAAGGGGCCACAAGCCAAGGAAGGGGGCGCCTTCTGGAAGCTGGAAAAGGCAGGAACAGATTTTCCCTGGGAGCTTCCAGAAGGACCTCAGCTCCATCCACATTTCAGTTTGAGTGAATCTTGTGAGATTTGATTTGGACTTCTGACTTGCAGAGTGATAAGATAACAAATTTGATTGTTTTAAACTACTAAGTTTTTAAAAACTTTTTAAATTTATTTTTTCCATTGAAACTACTAAATTTATGATGATTTTATTTTTACAGCAACAATAAGAAGCTAACACATTTTCTGACAGGCATTTAGACGTGTAAGGCTAGATGTGAGGAGTCTCTGCCTACAGAGACTAGCCGAAGCCGTGGTCGTGGGGAAAATCAATCGGAGAAGGACTACAGTGAGGAGAGGTGAGGCCTAGGAAGGAGCCTTCAGGGAGACGACTTTCCAGGAAGGACAGGCTTCCACTGCTGCTCCTGCGTGGCAGGGTTTCAGGGAGGAAGTGCGTTCTGGTGGGGGAAGTGACCCGAACATCTTCTCTTGTTGGTGTGAGGTCGGAGCTCAGAGGCTGAAGGGCCAGGCTCACGGCTACTCTGTGGGGTGGATCCGGAGATGGTGTCTGAGAACAGGGCCAGAGAGAGGGAGGGACTATGGGGCAGGGTCCCGAGAATGAGCTGGGCAAACTGCTGTTGTAATGGAGTCACGTTTCCTGCAACCCCACAGGAAGTGGCCGTTATTTATGTCCACGTTTACATACTGATCAGAGATGAGCCCAACTCGGTCTGCGTAATTATCAGAAGGCCTATGGCAACTGCTCTCCCAATTCTGTGCAGTCACTTTGGTGGTTTTGCCAGAGGGCCCTGCTGGGCAGGAGGAGGTGGTCATCATTTTGGGTGACCCTTGCCAAGCCTTCTTTCTCTTTGGAGCAGGATAGCTGGACTGGGTGATGGCCTGGGTCCCCCTTTATGTGAGCATGTTTCCTCAGGAATAGCAGGTCCCTGGGAGACCTGAGGGAGCCGGCCACAAGGGAGTCAGGGGCTGGTGGGGCCCCTGGAGCTGTGTGCAGCCTGCACAGGTGGAAAACTCAGACAGGAACTGGCCACACCCTGTGGATGCTGGAGCACAGGCTCGCGGGCGTGATGACGCAGGAGGTAGGATCTGGACATGTACGACCTGGTTTAGCAGGCCAAGGAGGAGCCAGGTCCAACGCTCATCGGTGACTGCTCTGTAGTCTTGAACGAGACAAGGAGGGTCTTTTGAGAAATGGGGAGCAGAGCAAATGGCCCACAGCCCCTTTCCCTGTGGGAAGACCTGCAGTTCAGCAGCTTCAAGCCCTTGAGAAATGACACTGGATCTTGGCTGCTGCTCTGGTTCTGAGTACTCCTGTGGGTGGTGATCTTGAACTTTTGAGGGGTTTATGCAGTTGGCCTCCAATGTGACGAGAAGTCTCAATAACCAGTGCCAGGCAGTTTCAAAGCTTTCTACTGGTCAGCAGAAGAGTCTGGCCTGTGGGACAAAGGCTGGATGGACCAAGGCCACCTGCTATGACAGCATCACTCCTGCTAGTGGTTGGAGACCCTCCATTCCTGCCTCTAGCCATTCACATGGCAAAAAACCAGGAGTTCAGGGGATGAGAACATGGGGACTCTGGAGGCAGCTGTGGACCTGAATTCCTGAAGTGTTGCTTGTGGGCTGTTACTTATGGAGACAGGGTCATCAGCTTCTGTGAGGCACCTGAAGAACCATGCGTGGAACCCATACTGACCTCTTTCTTCTGGACAGCTCCCCAGGGAAGGGCCTGAGAACGTGTAGTGATGAGAGGGAGGGGCAGTTTGGAGGAATGAATTAGGGGATATAATCTTGGAATTTCTGATGGAACAGAATGAAAACACAGTAGGCACTGTGAAATAGAATAAGTAGAGTTTGCTGATAAGTAGAATGTTGAGTACAATTCAACACTACATCAATTCCTTTAGGAATTGATGAAATCAGATGAAATCGAACTCTCCCAAACAGAATACCTATGGAGGGGGTAGGGGGAGTGGTAACACAATCCAGGTAGCTGAACACGTGGATGCTGGCCCTGTGCTCCAACCCACAGGTGTGACAGGAGTCACAGTGGTGATGCTTTGGTCCAGAACGTGGCAGGTGACCTGCACTCATAGATCAGGTACACCCATACTTTAGACTTCTATGGGCTGATGGTCTTTGACAAAAACCCCTTAGTGTGGTGCTGGCATGCTCCTAGGCTCACATTCAAGTGGGGGATCTCAGCAGGGTTGAATGATGCTTGGGAATAATTCCTCAGAGCCCTTTCCTAACTGTTCTTGCTAAGAAACTAGCTTGAGGAGCAGGAAATGTGGGTAAGAACTGCTGCAGACTGCAAGATGAGTCCAGGACTGGCACCCTTTCTAGAGTCCTGGAGGTCCTCAGACTTCCTGCCTCTAAGACATAGGGGGGTAGTAACACCCACCTGGGGCCTCTTCCCACTGCCTGGCCCAGACAACCAGTATTTGGGCAGATGAACTGAGACACAGGGAGCATGGATTTCCTAAGAGTTAACTGGGAGACCAGCCCATTTGCTCCCCTGTAAGAAAGCATCAGGGAATTTGGGAGTAATTGTATAGGCCCAATACCGACTCTGCCTTCATGTTGGAGAAAGGAAATGATCTGCAAGCCCGGTCACCTGAGGCACTGAAACTACAATTAGTGACATAGCACTTGCAACACCACCAGGATATTGATCCTGACCACCTGTGTGCAGGGGAGAGGTGGGCGAAAGGCCCCAGCCACACTGAATGAATGAAACATGGTCATTCTGGGTGAAGCTCAAAGGCCACTTGCTTCCAGAACTCTGGTTCCTTAGGTAGGAGGGTTAGGGGGTGTCTGCATGTCACAGGTACCTGCCTTCATGGAATTTCCCATGATGCAGAGGGAACGAGGTGAGGTTCTGACTCTGCATATAGAAACACCATGAAGGATGGAAACCTGGAGCCCTGTTACAGAGAGGGATTGGCATAGTGACTGGGAGGCCAGAAGACTAAGGAGTGAAGGGAGTCAGCTCAAGCCAAGGGTGATGGCAATGCAGGACACCTTTCACTCTCAGCTCCTTAGCAAATGCTCTCCTCTGGGCCTGGGCCTGGCCTGGGGTATTGTGGAGGCAAGGTCTCTCACAGGTACCCCACCTAGTCTGTCACCTAAAGGTCTCTGACTACTACAGAAAAACCCAGGCTTTGGGACCACCTACCACATGGGTGATCTCTGTTGGGGAGACCCTCTGGAAACCCCCTTCCAGACTCTCCCATACACCTAGGAGGCCCTCAGTGTCACCCAGGAGAAGCTGCCCTGAGGCACTTGGGGAATCACAATGAGGAACAAGAAAGGAGTAAATATGACATTTGAGAGCTTAGGAAAGTTGCTATGCAGTTTCCTGAATTTTATCATGCTCCCCTCATCCCCAGCTTTTGCACAGACAGTTCCTGCCACTCCAAATGCTTCTCCCTTCTCTTTGTTAGCTCTCATCTTTCCTGTTGTTCTCTATTGAAATGACACAACCCAGCAGTCTCTCTGTCCTCTCTCAGGTCTGGCTTCAATGCCCCCTACATGCTCCCCACAACCCCATTTCTCCATCCAGGGCCAGCACAGGGTATTCCAATGCCTATTGGCTGGGCTGTATCTCCCACTTGGGAAAGAAGATTAGAGCAGAGAACATGCCTATCTTGCTTCCAACCAAAGGCCTGGCCCAGAGAAGGGCACTTGAGATATGTTTGCTTGTTTGGTGGGTGGAGGCAGAGAGACATATTTGAAACTGGATTTCATCTCTGGATACCTACAGACCATTCAAGGGTGGAATGCCACCTTCTTGGTTTTGATTCTCAGTGCAAGTGAGGAGAGAGCAATCCTATAGAACCCTCTGCAGCTCTCCATGTTGCTGTTCTAGAACCCAGGGTGGGGCCAATTTCCCAAGGGGACGTTAGGGGAGCATGTACTTGTCATTGACTAGCTGGCAAGTTCACAGGGGAGGGCAGTCAAGGAGAAGGAGTTAGAAGGTCAAGGGGAAACTATGACACCTTGAGCATGCCCCACTACATCCAGGAATACTATATAACTGAGAATTGGACTTGGCTGGCTGGCTCCTGAGACTCCTCCAGGTAAAATGTGCCTTCTCCAGCCCCTTCACTATTCACTCTTTGGAATGTTTGATACTTGTGACTTGTCTGATCTCTTGAAATGCAAGTCAGTATCTTGCCCATGAAGGAAGCTGGGCTGGCAAACCTAGGGGTTGGGAGCTAGCCCTCCCTCCCCTTTGTGAAGGACCATTCCTGTTGGTCAGTTTGGTTCTAGGAGGATGCAAATGTGGAATCCAGCTCAGGCACTCAGATGCATAAACTGAGGTTCTCCTTGGAGCACAGCCCATCCCAGGAATTTCCCATCATGCATAGCACGTGGCAGAGAGAGCTAGATAAGTGACTCCTGAATGAATGGCAGGGCGTGCGGGCCGTGAAAGGGATGGCGGCAGGCAGGGTCCAAGGGAAGTCTCAGTAATAACAGACACTGAATGAGATTCGTCCAGCAATATGTCCCAGCTATACAGAAGGGGAGCCCTGAGCTCTCTTTCCCCCAGATCCAGGAGGGCAGTCTCCTGGATTATTTTTATGGCAAAGCCCACCACCAAGGAGATGCGGTGTTGGATGTTGGTCGTCAGACCTCCTTCTCCGGGTGGAGGTGGCGAGGTGATAGGGAGGACAGAAGGGGAGGTCATCATCAGCGATTTAAGAAGAAGGACTTGAGGCTCTGGAAGAACATAGACTTCTGTCTCTGCTTCTGTTTCTTTTTGATGATGGGCACCCACACCAGCCCGCACACCAGCATCATGAGTCCCAGGGACAGGAAGGCAGGCCCTATCATCTTAAGGGCTGTCAGGTACTTTTCAACCAGTTTCAGGGTATAGGCCAAGCAGGTGATGACCACACCAAAGAGGAGGATGGCGCCCCCCACAGACATGGTGACGATGGGCTTGCGGTATATCTCCCACTTACTCCTGGGGGCGGTGGTCCAGACGGACTCACTTCGGGAGCTTATGCACAGGGAGCTGGCAGTCTGGCTGGGCAGCAGGTCCTTGGATTCTGGAGACTTCTCATCAACGTCCGGGGCTTTGGGGATAGCCTCCATCGTCACAGCTCCTCAGGACCCAACACCCGGGACTCGCAACAGTTAGGAGCAAGAGCCAAGCCAAAGGGTTCCTCACGTCCCCTTCCTGCTCCCAGCATCCGTCTCTAGCCGGCACTCAGTGGAGGGTTATTCAGGGTTTTGGTGCTGAAGTCAGAAGGAAAATCAGATGAGACCCACATAAAAAAGAAACCACTCAAGCCACTTTGTTGTTTTCTTGTGAGAGATAAATACTATCGCATTCTAATCAACTGCTTCTAGTATTTGAAACAGGATACCATGATGCCCATTAAGTAATCAAAATCAACAGTTTGTTCACTGGCATCTTCCGACTCAATCACTTTCTAGTTCTGTGATCTTCAGTGAATTACTTAATGTCCCTGTGCCTCAGTTTTCTTATCTATAAAATGGGGTAATACCACTACTTACGGGGTTTTCAAAAGGGTTCAATGAATTAAGACATGTGATGCATTGGAACAATATCTAACATATTGCAAGCACTCCATAAATTGTGTCATTGTCCATTAGAGTAGTACCTACTACATAATCCCGTGTGAGTGTGTGTCTGCTGTGTGCCAGGCACGGCACTAAACACTCCTTTCATCAGATTTGAACCTCACAATACCCCTGTGAGTTAAGCATTCATCCTACTTCACAGAGGAGAAAGCGAAGGCTCAGGGAAGCGAAGCCATTTACCAAAAGGTAAGGAACTGCCAGAGGTTGGGTTGAAGTATCTGCTCTTCTCTTAAAATACCAGGCTACATAGGGGCTGGAGAGTACTTTTTTCTTTTTTATCCTCACCCAAGGAGAAGCCCACTGATCTTAGAGAGAGGGGAAGGGAGGGAGGGAGATAGAGAGGGAGAGAAACATTGATGTAAGAGAGAAACATAAATCACCCTGCCCCCTTACCGCCCCAAGGTTGCAGGGAACTGAAACTTCAACCTTGGTAGGCAGGTGCCCTGAGCAGGAATCGAACCTGTGACCTTTTGGTTTATGGGACGATGCTCCAACCAACTGTGCCATACCATCCAGGACTGGAGAACATTCTTCAATGGGCTTTTATGTGCTTTGTCAGCATAGCTTTGTCAGGTTCAGAGTGTGACCTTCTCCAATCCACTGAGCCACACCAGCCAGGGCAAGAGTGTGACCTTCTAATATCTAAATGACCCCTTTCCCCATCGCCTATGTGAATTACATCAGAGTCCCACCTTCTCGTTCTTAAGCCTGTCATGGTATGGAATCAAGCCCACCTGCCTGTTCCAGTTTCTCATCCAGAGTCCATCTGTGTGCCTTTCGGTCACCAGAGCCTTCTCACCCCATAGTCCCACGAGGAGGCTGCTGGTCCCCTGTGCAGAGCAATTTTAGAAGCTGAGAAGCACCACTCATCTGCCAAATCCTCCCCCAGAACCATGCAGGTGGGATTAAAATCTTTCATTCCACAATCAGAAATTGTGGGTTCAAGTGCAAATGCCTATACATTTGCAAATGAGGCAATAAGAGATGAATAATTTTAGATACTCTCCTGATACTAGATACCTTCTGTGTAGGGGAGGAAGGGGAGGCCAGGGGAAGCTGGGCATCACCCTGAGTCACCTTTGAGTTGTCTCCAGAGGGTCTGGGGCAGTGCTCTGTGCCCCAGGGGTTCTGTACAGCTTTAAGCAAATGAATAAGTGAATGAATCACGTCCTTTCTGCCCTCTGCTTCTCCCACTACACCTCCCCTCTTCTCTCTCCCCCTCCCTCCCTCCTTCTCGCTGGCTGGTCACTAACAACAAATCCAGCTTTCCTTACAACACTACTCAAATTCAGTCCCCCCTAGAGGGAGCCTGCCACCTCCCCTGTACACTCAGGGGGTCGCTGTGTTTGGGGTCATGCTGGCCACCTGTCCCCCCTCTCCTGAATCCACCGACTCTCTCACTGTGTTCTACGGGGCCCCTCCCTGCCTGCCTGGGGGACGGCCCCAAGCAACGCGCTCTCCAGCCTCGGCCCCTTCTCTCTCCCGACTGACACTGACTGACACTGACGGTCCCTGGCCCTGGCCTCTATTCCCTTCCCTCCTCCAGGTTTCCTGGCTTCTTCCTCTGACCTCTTCTTTCACATTTCCTACTGGGCTACCTCAGGCCCCACTCAAATCAGCATTTACTAACATCCTTCCTGTGAGTGGGGCGGGAGAGATTTCTTGCCACAGCAGAAAGTTTATTGGAGAAGAAAGTTAGGCTCTTCTTCCCAGTCACAAGGGATCCCCATTACACAACCCCTCAAAAGAGTGAGACCCAGACCCAAATATGAAGGGGGAGCATTTCTGGACACTACCGTGCCAGCTCTGGGTGCAAGAGAGCTTGGGATGCAGGGGGAGGGTCTGCAGCTGGTGGTCCCCAAGCCCCCACCCTCTGAACCTGCAGTTTCTTCCTCGACAAGGCCCTTCCACACCTGGAAGTTTCCTTTAGTGAACGGGTTCTCCTTCAACACTTCCTACAATGTGAATTTCAAACCAATCCCCCCAACGCCCACCCCTGCCACTCTCCCAGGAACTCAGGCCTGAACCAGCGGGGATAGCGTTCCCACCCCTCCCCAAATTTCCAGAACAGCAGAAATGGGGCCCTCCCCTCCGACGGGGAGGGAGCAAGAATTGTCAGACTGCTATGCTTTCAGAACGCAGATACTCACATTCATATTCACTCATATGGAGAGCACCCTTGGATTTCTGCTTCCGAAGAATGGAAAATAGGACGGATGTGCTTTGTGAGTACAGACTCCAGGTGTTCGCTTGCCTTTCAGCCCTGCGGTATATTTGCATAAGCTAAGTAGTCATTTTAAAGAGACCTTTCCCCCTGTGGGCTGGGGTAGCCGGAATTGGTGGGCGGGCGTCGGGACGCCTTCCATCGGCCGTTTCCACCGCTTTGCTGCGAAGAACCAGACCAGACGTGGCAGGCGTTGTCGGGGAGAATGGGGGCAGAAGAGCTGGGGACGATTCGCAGCTGTTCGGGAGGAGGGCTGGGCTGAGTCAGGAGGGCATGCTGCGGGAGAGCTACCCTCTGGGGGTGGGTGGCCCCGGCATCCCCGACAGGAGGTGTTCACCAGGCAGCCTCTGCAGGGGCCACGGATTCCCAGACTGCCAGCAAGCGAGGTGGGACTGACTGGGTCTCGCTGGAAGCACCTCTCACAGGCTCTTTGGCCTGCAAGGAGGTGGTCCATCTATTCCCATTTTATAAGGGCAGAGACTGAGGCCTGGGGAGGTTTGGGAGTACAGACACCCAACGGTGTGTCTGAATGCGCCCCGTTTCTTACGCTGCTGGGCTGGGGTTCAGGCCAAGTTCTGTGGACGCGGAGCTCCTTGCGCAGAGCGGACTGGTCTGGATGAGTCCCCAGGGTCCTCAACTAGGAGAATGTCTGAATTTTTCACTTTTGGGGCTTCATTCTGCAGTTAACTAACCTCTTACTGCATTTGGGGTGACCTAGATAAGTAATTGCATCTCGACTCAGTACAATGGGGCAGTGATTTTCAACCGGCATGCCGAAAGAATTTTTAAAACATGTAATACATGACCATTTAGTCAGGGGCATTGACCTCTTTTCCCTTAGATCGTCCAAAAAAAAAAAAAAAGACAACAGCCAACATGACAATAGCCCTATGATGTGAATGAATCAAAATTATACCTATTTTTTGTCAGATGGGCAAAAAATACAATATATTTTTGGTGTGCAGCAGATTTTTAGTAATTAATGTGTGCCATGAAATGAAAAAGGTTGAACATCACTCAGTAGGGAGATAAGAATACTGTTTTTGAGTTTTTTGTAGTGTTACATTTATTTATTTAAAGGACTATTTTTACTCTGAAATTACATCCTTCCTCCTCGCTTGCCATCACTTTCTTTTATGAAATGACCCCGATGGGAGCTGATCATTGGTTTTGTTAGTCTCTGCATTTGCTTAGATGAAAGGCTGGCCATCCTGGGTAGATGTCTATCCGCCTACTGTCCACCTTCTTTCTATCATCTATCTATCTATCTATCTATCATCTACATTTGTTTAACCTATCATCTAAATTGTAATGGCCCATGAAATCCCAAAGAATGGAACCTTTAACTTAGTTGACTTACTTAGGAAGAGGTGTGTCCTTAGAACAGTGGACGAGCAGGCAGGGTAGGGCCATGGAATGAATACTATGGTGGGAAAAGTCACCTTCTGCCATAGGTACTGCAGGTGGTAGAAAGATCCAGGTCTGTGACGTCAGCGAGATGGTGGTTTGAACTCAGTTTGCCTCCTCTAAACTCTGGGACTTTGGGCAGGTTACTACCCACCCCCCAGACCTACGGGCACCGTGCGCAAAATGAGGATAATAGGGTATCGGTCTCACCGGGTTGCAGCGACTATCAGATTTCACAAAAACACTACTGCATTGTGCAACACATTATAGGTGTTCAAGAAATGGCTCTGGTTGCTATTATAGGTAGTTTTTTTCTTGGTCCCTCTTTTCTCACTTGTAGAATAAAGAAGTTGGGCTAAGGGACTTCTAAAGCTATTTTAGATAGGCTCATGGGTGGTGAATCAGATGTGAATTCTGAGACTCCAGGCTTCCTGATAATCCCCAAGTAGGTGGCAGTATGAGTTTTATAACTTTTAATTAAAATCCTAGGATCCTATTCTTCTGATACCCGGGTTTCTCGATAGTGGCACTGTTGGTGTTTTGGGCCCAGTAGCTCTGTGTTATAGGGGCCATCCTGTGCATTGTTGGATATTGAGTAACATTCCTGGCCTCTACCCCACAGACTCCAGTAGCACTTCCTCACTTTCAGTCTTAATTGCCAAAAATGTCTCCAGATATTGCCCAGTGTCCCCTGGGGACAAACTCATTCTGGTGAAGAAACTTGCTGCACTTTGGCCTTACCCACCCTCCTTGCTTGTAAACTGCCTCTGGGCCTGGGCTGGGTTTACCCCCCTTCACTCAGCAGTGTCCCATGGTGCACAGCCTGGCCCTTAGCAGGTGCTCCAAGGACTTGGTCTGCACACTGCAGCTCTGTGAGGGGCCTGGCAACACCTGGGGAGCCGGTCCTGTGAGAAGAACCATGATTTTAAGTT